AAACAAGGCAAGGTTTTTTTTGACTCTTGACAGCAGAGGATGTGTGGGCACTTGGGGGGGGTCAGGCAAGGCGGGGGCCATAAACTATCATCCGGCAGGCCACAAATGGCCCCGGGCCACATGTTTGAGACCCCTGGTGTATAGTAAGCACTATTATTTGTATTTTTGTGTTTGTTTTTGTTCTAAAACTAATAAAAACCATTTATTTAAAAAATGAAATATTCTCCAGCCTTCTTCATAAGCTTTATGTAAGGAACTTTATATTTTTAAAATGGAAATTAAACGGATAGAATTGCCTATTCATCTACAGGGCATTGAATGTTTCTCTTTTAAAAAATTTATCTTAGACCCTCTATTGTTAGGATTGGCAACTTCCCTTTCTCTTTTCCCCTGACAGGATGGACTTTTAAAATAATTACATACCTGTCACATAGCCAAGCCTGTACCTGCCTGCCATGGCACCTCTCCCTCATACCTCTCCCACCGGTATTGATTGCATGTGACCTGAAAATTTTTATTTGGTCTATCTTTTTGATACAAATTTAGCAAAATTTGCAATTTCTTTCATTAATTCAAAGGAAAGACCTTCAAGTTTAAAAATTCAAATGAGGGGGAAAGTGAAATTGGCCAGTTCATCTTTCCTCCCCAAACACAACGGTCTCGATTCTGTTCTATCTTCACAAAGACCCTGTGAAGTAGGTGAGGCTGATTGGCTCAAGGTTGCCCAGAGCCATTTACAGCTGGGTGGGCAAGTATTTTTGTGAAAGTAGTGTAATGAGAATCAGCGTAACTTTAGTATAATTCTTTTTCAGAAATCACCAAAAGGATACTCCAGATATTGTCTCTGAAAGTCAACACATGACATATTCTCACTGTGAGTTTTATGTTGCCTCTTGATTGATATGAACTGTTGTGTAATATGAATAATTTAGGAAAACAACAGTGCTTTATAGTGCCCTATCTGTTATCGCATCCAGGATCTCTCACTAGGATCACCAGAATAGTCACTACCAGGTGTTGCAGAGATGGCACAAGTGGATTAACTAACTTTTTGTATCAGGAAAATCTTCTCCATTTCTGGTGACTACTGTTTGGCTTCTGCTTCTGGTAGTGGAGCTACAGATTGGGAGTTCAGTTTCCAATTGAGTCTTCCAGGGGAAGAGCTAGCCTATGTAGCCTTGGGCAAGCTGCACAGCCTCAGTATATCCCTGGAAGAAGAAAATGATAAATTAGTTCTGAGTACCCTCTACCCAGAAAATCCTGAGAAGGGTCACTATATGTGGATTTGACTTGATTGCAAACCCCACCTGCTCCTCCTTACTTCTGCTCTTACCCACTGACATTATCTGACATTATTTGCCCCATGTTACTTTGAGGTTGATGAGGGCATAATAATGTTTCTTTTATGAATCAATAAAATGGCCACTAGCATTATTTGACCAATAGTCACTGGCCACCCAGCCTGTGAGGAATTTTGGGAATTGTAGTTCAGAAACATAAATTTGCATACCTATAGTAATCAGTAATATGCAATCGTTAGTTTTTCTCATTATTTGGACTCTGTGTGTAGGAATATTGTACAGGGATTTCCTGCCTAAATGTTAGACCTTTTTCTTACTTTTCTAGATGGGTTTCCCCAAGGAACTAAAAAGTAACAGAAAAGTAACAATCAATGTAATACACCATTAAATCTTTCTGTCCTCAGAATGCTAACAACTTAACTTTTGAAAACTTTGTAATGACTTCCTTTTTACAGGTCAGTAATTTGGTGTATGTATGGGATGATCATTTGCCATTATTTCTCACATTTGACTTTCTTTTCTCCATATCTCCATAGTGGGCGGCTGGTTGATTTCCAATCCAGATGCTGTGTGCACAGCAGGAACATCCAGCTATCAGTACAGTGGCTCTTTTCCTCTGCCTTCCCCACATGCACATCACAGCTGTGAACACTATTCAACCCTTCGTGGACACAGAGCTGTTCCCTATCCTGCTTCATACATGCACAGAAATCATTCTCCATCAGGCAAGTTTATGCCATTTTAAATCCTTAAAAAAAAAGAGCAAAGAGTTACAAAAGAATTAAATACAATAAAAATTATTCATACATATATAAATGTTTCCTCTCCAAATACCATAATACATCCTGTTGAAGAAATAACAAGTGAATCAGACCACAACAGAATTGGGAGACCAATTTTAGAATGACCATTATTAATTCCAGAAGCAAATAAATGGCTTAGATTTCCTGTTAAAAATAAAAACAAAGATAATCCAGATAGCAGTGAGTAATGAAGCCTGAAATTTGCATGAAACATCCTTCTTTACTGTAATACAGTATTCTCCTGACATCTGAAGAAAAATAGCTACATAATCTAAACTATAGAAAATAGTTTTGTAGTCCAAGAGTATTTCTGGCAATGCCTTGGAGCTATATATGCTGATGTAATGAAAATGGTACAGGCATTATCTCAGAATAAGGGCAGGTAATCTGTGATCAGTGAATGACTTCAAAGAATAAACTAGACTGCATGATTAAACAAGGGCTGCCCATTCAGCCTAAGATAGAGATGGGGACTAGGGAAATGTTGGCTTTCCAGATACCTTGGACGAGAACTTCCACTGTCTCTTATTGTCGGGAATGCTCGAGAAAGCTAAAAGTTCTACCTGTGTCACACGCGCGAGTCAGGAGGTGAGGCTGAGGAGCCTGACACCGAGGGAGGCCCGGAAGGAAAACACAAGAAACCGGGCCTTCTCGTCAGTGGCTCCTCGCCTCTGGAACAATCTTCCACTGTCTCTTATTGTCGGGAATGCTGACTGGTGCTTCCAAATGTGAAGTCCAAAAGTTCTCCACACTCCTACCTATTCTTTCTTTTATTCTCTTAACACCATGCAAGAAAACATATATGATATCTCTGGGATAGCTCAGTGATTTTGGCTGCAGAGCCAAAGACTGAAAATTCAATTCTTCCCCTTTGCCTCCTGGGAATAGAGCCAGCCTGTCTAGACTTGGGCAAGCTGTACAGTCCCAGGGTGCCCCTTGAAGAAGAGAATGGAAAACCCCTTCTGAGTATTCTCTACCTGGAAAAACCTGAAAAAGTGACACCATGAGTTAGAACTGACTTGATGGCACATTATTATTATTATAATAACCTTGCTGCAAACACTTTACAGTGGCCGAATTGTTTGTGTTTTCACTTCTATAGTGAATTTGATAGACAGCACTAGCAATGATCTCCAAGTGTCTCCAGCGCATGAAGGGTGGACTTCCGTACCTTCCAGTCACCATCCCAACTTGCTTCCTGTGCCACACAACAGTGCTACTACCACACCAGGGCCTACGTGAGTATACCGTTGTGTCAATCGCAGCACCCCATCAGTCTGAATAATAATCAGGACCCCTTGCATATGAGATGATGATCTTGACGTTTGAGGTGGGAAAGGAAGAACCAGATCACAATTGGCATGAACCAACATCTCAATAGGAGACTATGGATTCGTGTCCTGTTACATAAAAGGATAAATAATAGGGCCTTTAATCAAAATTAAAGTGACTCAAATGTGATTCCTTTTCAAATCTTTATGTATTTGTTACTGTATTGAACCCATTTTTGGTTCTGACAAGATACACAATAATCTACAAAAATACACACTCTTAACATAGGGGTCAAACTAGATGAGATGCTCAGTTCACAGTTAGAAGCTGATAGCACATTTGTCCTCCAGCAAAGGGACTTGTATGTGGCAATAAGCATCAGATGGGTTGAACTGTTAGGGCTCATCCAGTTGGAGCATTTGTTTTCCTGCATGTACCTAATTATGTGCTGATGATGCTGGTATTTTTTTCCTATTATCCAGACAATTCGAGGTTTAAATTGGTACCACCAGTGACAAAAAGTAATAAAAACCCTGCCTTTCTGGGTTCTTTGCTAATCATCCTCTTCTAATTTGTCTGTTTCTCTTTGTACCTGGCTGGAGTTCAGGTGGAAAGAGCTTCTTGGGTTGTAAGCTTTCAATGTCAGTACACAACAAGAAAAACAAAACCCCACTACGGGACATTATTCTTTAAAGGATTTAAATGGTTTCTGCATTTTTTAAAAATAGTTGATGTGAAAGACAGCTGATTCCCAAAGCAGATTAACAGGGAGGTGAGCCTCTGTTGAAACTGGCACATGCTGAAAGCTTCCAATGTGGAATCTGTTATTTAAAAATCAGAGGGGGAAATCCAGAACAGAAATTCATGTTTAAAGTATTTCATGCTTTTTGAAACTTCTTTTTGAGCCAGTCCTTTAAAAGATGCTGATTTTGTAAGAAGAAGATGCACGAGGTTTTAAAGGATCAATGTGGAGAGAAAGCCTGTTCACATGAGGCATCACCCAACACTGACAATGTGGGGAGAAACAAGTGTTAGGTCTTAATAACCTTTAATCCTTTTAATCCTTTACAAACAAACATAATATTAAGCTAAGTAAGATACTGAGCTCACATTTAGAAGTGGAGCTTCCTTAAGCGATGAAAGATATCTGTTTCTGAGAAATCATCTTGCAGATTAATCACATGTCTGCCTCTTGATTACCAACCACAAGGCAAAGCATGCTAACTTGCAAGATACAAAGGTTAGAAAAGTTAGGACAAAGAGACATCTTTTACCACTTAAGGGAGCTCCACTTCTAAATATAATCTGAGCATCTTGCCTAGTTTAATCTTGTGTTGGACTTCAAGGTAATAAAAAGACTTCCAGTGCAACCGTTCCTATGTTTATTGCAAAACAGTAAAGTACCCTCCAGAGGAAATAACTGAAACTAGCAACCTTATGCATGCTTTCCTAGAACTGCTGACTTCAGTGGCACTTAATTCTGAGCAGGCCTACATTTTTCATTGTTCTTTTGAATATATGCTTCAAGAATTTGTTACTTTGGATGCTTCTTAGAAGCAAGATGAAATATAAGTCCGAGTTTTAAGGGTGGTGTTCAGTCAATGGGACTCACTGCCCTCCCCATTTCAGCAGGGGAACTGCACTTTTATATCATGTAAATTTTTTGTCATGTTTCACAACTGGCTGTTCTACCTAGAGGCAACCACTGTGTCTAGTGTTGAAACAGGTTCCATCATTTCTTTTTGGCTTAGCTTTTCAAAAGGACTTGGTCACCTCTAGTCCTCCAGGTATTTTGAACTACAATGTCCAATTGAAATCTAAAATATCTTAAGGGCAGAGATTTCTCCAGCCATAGTCTAAGTACAGTAATTGGAACTGATTATTGGGCAGTGGATGACAAGAAATACTATTTATTTATTTATTTATTTAATTTATATGCCGTCCACACTACCCAAAGGTCTCTGGGCGGCTTACAGCATTTAAAATACAATAAAGATATGTAACAATTAAAATACCATTAAAATATATATAAAATTGCCATCAGACCCACAGCTAATATTATTTCAGTTAAAAGCCTTCTGGAACAGGAAGGTTTTGACCTGGCGCCGAAATGTCATCAGTGTCGGCGCCAGACGAATCTCAGTCGGGAGGGCATTCCATAGTCTGGGGGCAGCTGCCGAAAAGGCCCTTTGTCTACAAACCGTCCCTCTTACCTCCTTGAGGGACGGCTCTTTCAAAAGGGCCCCCTGGCTAGATCTTAACTGCCGGGTAGGCTCATATGGAAGGAGGCGGTCCTTCAGGTATCCAGGGCCCAAGCCGCTTAGGGCTTGTGCTAAAGATTTGCTGAAAACAATTACTCAGTTTCAAGAACCTAGTTCTCTGGGTGTGGTGGGGGTTTACATAAATGTGGGTGAGCAACTTGAATATGTGCACATATGCATGTATATGCGTATTCTTTCCACAACAGATTAGTCCAGTACCACATATGGGGATGTAGCATCATATTGACCTTCTGGCAGGGCCCTGTCTCAGTATTATGGAAAGGGCATTTCATTTGAATAGGTGTGGACAGGCCCCAGGATTCCACAGGTCACTTTTTTCAGGTCCAGGATCCTGTGGAGGTTATTGCAATGTATTAAAATGAGGCAGAACATGATTGGAAAATATTTCCAATTTAAAGAACAACACACACCTGTTCTTAAAGCTGATGTCTGTCTCAAGTGAAGTATCTTGTTTTAGAAGGGAATTGTCTGCTCCAGATATGTGGTTCACAGTTTTGTTTAGGTTTTGAATCCTAGCTTTATTTTTCCCCTGTGGGAATTCCAGGGACCACCAAAATGGCTTTATGGGCCACAAAGGTTTCAATCCTTCATTCGGGCATAGTGGTATTCTTGAGTTAAAAATGGTATTCTTGAGTTAAAAATGGTCTCCCTAATTTAAAACAAAATGGTAGTGGTCCTCTTGGTTAGTAAGATGGGATATCATAGTTCTAATTTACAGTTCCACCAAAATATTACATCCTGATGGAGACTTATTTCCAAAGCATTATAAGTGGGATACAGTGGCTTGCTGGAATGCCAATTTGGAATAAGGAGGGATGGGCAAATTTGTTACAGGTGGCTTCCTGGGATGCCAGTTTGGTATTCCATTAGAATAAGGAGGGATGGGCAAATTTGTTACAAAGAGAACATGACTAAACACACACTCCCACCATTTGTTAAAGCAAGCTCCCTCCAGAGCCTAAGCGTTGTAAGAATTCCTCATTGCTCCCCAATTTTTTCTTGCTCTTTCTTTCTATATCCATCCATGTGTGAGAAATGTAATGATGATCCAATCATTTCAGATTCAGTGATGCTTTCTTACACAGCACCCTTAGCACTGCAAATTTCAGCTGCTATATTTTGGCACTGCTCTGTTGCAGACACTACCCGTGCCTCTGGACAGTCAATAACAATGCCATTGCCAGCGTTGGGAGTGATGCAACCAGCAGCCCTCCAGGAACCTTCCTGCGAAGTAACATCGTGCTACCTCCTCCCACCTCCTCCTCTGCTTCCACTTCTTTGCCAGGAACCATCCCCAGCAGCATGGAAGCACAACTGGAGAGTGCTTTTCCTAGATCAACTGATTCCACTTGGGCATCCGTAGCCTCCCATTCATTTTAAAAGACAAAAGGCAGCAGAAGATCAACGCCCTGTAAGATCCCAAACAGAACAAGATTTAAGGCTGTCGTTTTAACAGCAAAGAAAGAATGACATTACTAGTCTCTGCATATCTTGAAAGTCTGGCTTGGATGTTGAGTCAGTTGGATGCTATAGGACATAAAAAGAAGAGAAACATTTGCAGAAGAATTTCCACCTACCGTGGCACCCAACTCTATGTGCACAGAAGCAGGACACCTGATAGCGGTCATATTGAAGAGGAATTTGCTTTCTGTATAATATAATTGGCTGTAATTCTAGCCAGTCAGTTAGCTGTTCAGGGGTGTATTACTTATCAGAAGACTCTAAATTTCAGTGATCAGCTTGAATATTGTTGTAAAAGGGAAATACTTAAGACTTCTTCAGAATTTAAATAGCAAATAATGTAAGAAACCATGTAAAGCCAGACATTTTTTTTTTGATGCATCTGTGGGGAAAATATATATCTGCCCTGTTCATCTCCTTAATAATAACAATAATAATGTGCCATCAACTCAATTTTAACTTATGTTGACCTTTTCAAAGTTTGCTAGTTATAGATGGCTTCCATTCCATTCATATGGAGACTCCCTGGAACTGTACAGCGTGTCCAAGACTGCACAGGCTAATTTCTCTCTCCAGAAACACAGTGGGGAACACGAGCTCTTCAGCTAGATATCCAACTTACTAAGCTATTTAGCCAGTGTTCATCTCCTTATTTCTTGAAAATTTTAGTCAATCGGTCTTTCCTGTTGATTACAGATTAGTATGCATCTCTTCTTTATTCTGTACAACACCAAGCATGCCCACTGGTACTGATGATTTCAGAGAGGTGGCTGCTATAGTCTGATTCTGAAAAAAAGAGAGAAAGTAATATGGCACCTTTCAGACTAAAACAAATTTAATTTGGTGTGAGGATTAGTAGATTGTAGCCCACTTTTTCAGTTGCCTGAAGACAGTCCACAAAAACTCACACATGAATAAATATGTTAGTCTTAAAGGTGCTATAGAATTTTTGTTTCTGCACATGTGACCACAAAGAAATTTGTCCTGACCGGTGGGAGCTTTCTACACTACACATTGGCACCTAAACCACTGCTGTGGTTATAATTATCCTGGGAAGTTACATTTCAATTGGTTACACGTCACACAGCCCTACTTCTCCCTTACCCTTCTTTGCCATTATCACCATTCTCTCACCCACGTCTTTAGCCAGAATCCTTTAAAAAAAAGAATTGTCCAGCAAGTGAAATATGGATGAACTGACAAGATATGGTAAATATCTGAATTAGTGCAGTATCAGTTTAATGCTATAGCACTAAATATCCAGCTATTGACTTCTGATGATATCTACTTGTTCCTGTGTTTGCTATTGTTCTAAATAGTGCTGTATCTACACTACAAAGTCAAAACAGTTCGATAATTTATGTGCCATGGCTCTCTCCTAAGGAATCCTGTGATACATAGTTTGGCAGGACCTTCAAACTTTTGTACTGCAATTGTGCAGATTGGGCTAGAGTTCTCTAGCAGAGAATTCTATGTAGCTCACCAAAATACAAATCCCAGAATTCCATAAAATGGAGCTACGACAGATATAACGGTATCAAAATGATCAAAATACAAATCCCAGAATTCCATAGAAAGGAGCTATAGCAGATAGAAAGCTATCAACTGTTCTTACTTCCTGTTTGCTTCCAGTTGCTTTGTTTTGTTCTTTTTCTTTCCTGACCCTTTGGACCATGTGGTTAGATGGCAGAGAAGTCCAATCCCTTTTTTGTCCTTTTACTTTTCTGATTGTAACTTAAGATGAACTGTAAGTAAAGATGTTTTTTTTCTATTTAAGTTATGTGTGGAAAAATTTTGGTTTGCAAAGGGTTAGTTTTTATGTGAACAAATTGTGTAGAATAATTTTTGTATGCAAAGGGTTAGTTTTTATGTGAACAAATGGGATGGGTGGAAACTGAGATTTTTAGCTATTCTTCTTCAGATTTCCCTGTGATGCAGCTGTTTCTTTTTTGTACATTATGCTTTGCTCTAACTAAAAGGGAATTAACCAAGACTTCCTCCAATATTTATGCTGTATTTCCACCACCAAGAGTACTTCCCAGTAGAGATTCCCCAAGACAACCAATCAGAAGGCAATGTGTGGGTATTTTATTTTCCCCTCCATTCCCCACCCCCCAAAAAAAGATATTGGTATCATCTGAAAATTTTGTGGAAGACGCAGAACAATTGCATAATAAACAGCCTCATCTGGAAGCACCACAGTTCATCCAATGGACATTAATTTGTTGTACTGAACTTGAGTTATTTGATGTTTCTAAAAAGTAATTTTATAAATGCTTTGTAATGCTTTATGCTGCTTTCAGTTACAGAATATAACCTGTTTTAATTCTCTGCTATCTATTTCTTCCTGTGCAATTCTGTCCTTTCTTGGGCACTTACGTTTACAAGTTAAATTTCTGATCCTGGATTGAAATTCAGGTGACCATGTTTGGCAGTGAGAAACAGTGAAATTGCCATTAGCTTTATCTGTAATCTTTTGGATTGCTCATGCTACTTGTTAGTGTGGGTGCATGCATTGGGATGGCACCAACCCACCTGGGCAAGAAATGTACTATGCGAATCAACCTGTGAGTGTTCTTTTCCCAGGTAACTCTAAGGAGGTGGTTAGCGTTTACTTCCTCTTCCTCTATAATTACAGTGCAGTGTTTGTGCATTAAGAAAACCATCCACCATGTTTCAACACAATTCAACGTGGGGTACACTTCTGTGGCACAGGAGATAATCCTCCGAGAGAGTTCATGATATACTTTGATGCTCCTGAGAATTAATATACCTTAACTGAACATAATCAAATTTGGAGAATATTAATTGTGAGTTCATACCTAGTTCTAGCAGAAATAAAGGGAGCTCTAATGATGCAATGTTGTTTTGATGTGCCAGTTCTTTTGTGTGTGTTGCATTTGTACTCTGAGTGATCTTCCACATCAATAGCATTTATACCTGACAAGAAAAACAAATGGGACATCAATGCATTTTTATAATGTGCAAAAAGCAATGTGACTGCATTTCTCTTTTAAATACAGTACATGCATTGTGAAATCACAGCTAGGCAACAATAACAGAATCCTATCCTTGGCTGTAGATGTATTTAGTTCAGTTAAAACCCACACATGCCCTGTTGTTCCTTTGTTGCATCCACTTTTCAAGGCAAAATTAATCGTACACAATAATGTAAAATAGTATGGAAAGCATTCTTTACAAGTGTTATATAACACTATACAAATATACGCCTTCACTCATGAAAGAGCTTCGGATTGTGAAATCATGTTTTACGTTACTTTTTAAAATTCTCTTGAGCTGGCATCTTGGTAGCAAACTCAAAGAGAAGAGGTCTGGAATGTGAAGCCAACAGAGTTGCCACCATTGTTTTCGATATTCTAGATATTCTTCTTCTAACTGCCATGTTGTATTGGCCACCTTACCTGTGTTTCTGAGTCTGCCAGATAGAAATTCAGCTTCAGTGGCATTTCCTAGGATGGAAGTTCAGAAATGATACGTTGACAGTAATAGCATTATCTGTAACATGCTACTTTGCAGTGGGGGTAATGAAGGTATAGTAACTTAGCAATATTATATTTCAAAATAATGTAATGAGCAGTCACTGGGTTACTTTTTAAATGTAAAGAATAACATTTACTCATGACTTCTAACAGGTTGGTTTGGGGGAGGTTATTGGGATTTGGATTTTGTTTTGTTTTGCTGTTCTTCTCTTTATAGGAGTTCTGTTAACACTGCTGCTGCTGCTAATAGTAATAATAATAATAAAAATGACTGAAAACTAATACACTAATCTAGAATTCTAGTGTGGATTTGTGCTGGCATCAATGTAAATTGCAGTGGTGAATTGCTGCTAATTCACGAGATGTTGCTTATATTCTCAATTGCTAGGTACACGTCTAGGAATGCAAGTGGCAACAGCTTAATTGCTGGCAATTTGATGCTGTAATTCTACACCATTATGCTTGTGCCAGCATAAAGCTACAACTGGATGTTGGAACATAAACCCTAAAGTAAAGCACAAGGACTAGTGATTAATGTGTCACCTTGGGAGGCAATAATGAGTAATTCCTCATGTGTCACTTAAAAAAAAGAAGCATCTTCCATTTCAGGCATGTGATACAGGCAGCTTTGCTAGCTTTAATTTCTTCAGACAAGACACCATTAAAGATACAGAAAGAGTATCAGCTCACCAACATATTGCTGTCCTTTATTCCTGACTAGCCAAAAACCAAAACAAAACAAAACAAAAACCATCTCTCTCACACACACAGCCCCAAACTGTAAGGTGAAAGGTGAGCAATTTTGTCCCCATAGGGTTTCATGGCCTAATTTGAAAGTCTTCAGGAACTGATCTCTTAGGGAGGTACATTCTCACTGGCCATGTCCTCATTGCATGTGAAGACAAGAAACGGCTAACAATGCACCTCCTCACCTAGGCAGACAATAAAAATTTGCACATTGTTTCAATACTGTTCTCACAGCAGTGAAAATATTTTCTACAAATTTTCCTGCTTTCCGCACAGACTTGCACCATTTGCACACATTTAGCATGGCTGCTGCTTTGTTTCACAGACATTGAAGACTTTGAAGCACTAGAAGGGTTGTTTGTGCCTGAATTCACAGTCAGTCAGTCCCTCCCTCTCTGTGTGCTTTGCTTCTCAAATGGCCAGGTTCGTTTTAACCCCACAAGGGAAAGGGTGCCCATTTTGTACAGCTATCTTTTGCGTAAGTTATAGGAACCTTAAAGGTGAAGGGGGCACAGCTTCTTATCTTGCTCTTGACTGGAGGCAAATAATTTTGTGGGGTTGTCAAATGCCATGTTGAGGGGCTGAGGCAGCTTAAACTAATGTGGCATTTAGTGAGTATTGTTCATATCCCTAAGACCATGTCATACCTTTGGCAAGAGTGATTTGTCTCCA